TAATCTGTCAACTTCACTCAGATCTTGTAAAATAAAATAACCATGTACGTGCTCGTCCACATGTGGCGTATACAACTTATAATTATCACTCAGCGTATCATGCACGTTAAAGATCCCCTGGCAACTCAATTAGAATGGAAGCGTAACTGCCATGGAAACGCCCTCCCCGTTATATTGGATATTTGGCCATAAAATATTTATTAAAGGGGCATTAGGTGAGATTAGATAAAGAGCTGGCAGTTCTCACTATAATAGTTAAAAAAATTGTTAAAGTAAAGAGAATATGCCGAAAATTTCAGTCAAATTGCTCCACTCTGAACCGAGATATTAGCGATTGAATTTTAGGCCGAGCCTCGATCATCATTACGATAAAAACAACGTCTCGAGTATCCATTTTGACTTTAAATCATACATCACAAAATGTATTCAAATCCAGTAAATATCGTAGGCTAACGATGGCATCGAGAGTTGATTATGGCCTGGATAATTTACGGTCTTTTCATGTTTATAAAAGTCTAATTAATAATTTAGATAACATTTCAGGCCTAAAGAAAGACCTGCAATAGGCAGATTGAGCTCTTGCATAATGTATGTTTAATAAATATTATTGTTCTCAAATAATCGTAAATAAAGCTAACATTTCTTCAATAAAATTCAATGATGTAGATTCATATTTTATTAAAAGAATATACGTCATGTATCTGCTGCTGCCCTGGCAGAAATATTCACTGCATTGTTCTCGTAGTAACACATGATTCTGAAACTAAACTGAACGCGAAAATGGATCTTTATACAAATTGCCGAAAATGTATAAAAATCAGACCTTCTTTTCGATTCCAAGTGGAGGTTACACTTCTACATTTACAATTTTGAACAGTCCATGACGGCTTTTCTGATTTCTAATTATGCTTAACAATTGGGTCGCCTGGCAAACTCCATTTATTCGTGAAATTACGAAATGTTAATCTAGTTGTATTTGAATTCATTGACTGTTTATTTATCAATTCTAGTCATGTACGTCGTATAATCTCCTTATAATAACGCCATGTTTGGTGGAGGATCATAGCCACGCGAACAACACCTTTTATGACGTCATACAATCAAAACGTGCACGAGGTCAAAAGAATTCAATTTGAATCTTTTCCTTCAATTATGTTAGACGAGGACTTGGTTTAATCAAAGAAAGTTCGTCTATTCTCTGATTAACCTCATCCTTTGAACTGTTCTTAAGAAGCTTGACAAAACACGGATGGACTCTTTAACTGAAGGTTTTCCTCATTGGGCAATTAGTAACTGGGTTCGATTTTTATATGTCCTATCCTGTAACTAAACAAATAAAATTACCGAACTAACAGTACATAGTATAATCTGATAAAACGCCATATTACGTTTTATCCTTGTTAATTTTTCGTCTATCTAAAGTATAATAAAACGAAACGAAACATAGATCTTGGGATATTCCATAAATCATAAACTAAAATATTTTAAGAATTCAGCTTTTTTATTGGCTAAGAATTAAAATCCCGGTGTAAATATTAGCTTTTAACAAAATTTAGTGGATAAGGCCCCTGTATTTAAATCTAACCGCCCCATTCTAAACCTAGATAGGCCTTTCATCTTCAAATTCTTTGAAAGGGTCTCGTTTCACGTCTGATAATTTCACGCCAGTTATCGTTATTTTGGTGTTTATTTAACTATATGCGAAGCGCGCTTAACCCACTGGGGAGGTGGGGTGAGGTGGATAGCCCAATGGTTAGGGCGTGCGCGTTGCATCATACAGTCTGTCATTGAGTCAACTAGCGTGGTTTCGATTATTCCCCCGTTGTACGTGACAAGGAGTAGGGTCGCCTGTTCAACCTCGTGGGTTTTCTCCGGTTCATCGGATCCTCTTCCCTCACCCAACGCAATCGAAATACCGCAACATTTTGAAGATGGCTCTATATGATAAAGTCGGCTAACACAGTCCCGCGATAAAGTCAGCAAACGCACTCCTGCGATTAAGTCAGCCAACGCAGTCATGCGAATAAGTCAGCCAACGCAGTCCTACAATAAAGTGAACTAACGCAGTCAAAGTAAATTATGTACATAGAAATACCAAATACCTCGTGCGATAAATTCAGCCAACGGAGTCCCGCGATAAAGTCAGCCAACGCAGTCCTGCGATAAAAATGAACTAACGCAGTCAAAGTATCATATGCATATAGAAATACCTCGACACTGTGAAGATATCTTCCAACTCGATCATTCTATCAATATTGATAGACTCTAATCTTCAACACACTCTCCTCACACCTTTTCAAATCCTACACCAAATATTCTACTCGTGTGACAATCGAGTCTATTTATCAAACCAAGGTCTTATTTACCAGTCTCTTTGTTAAATAAATAAGACTAATGTCAACGTGACAACTTCAAGTACTGGATAAATACGACTATTAGTTGAAGTGGCGTAAAAACAAAGACTAATGATGAGCCGAGGTGTGGATTCAGCGATGGACGACTCATCTCCATACGAAGTCTTCAAATGTTAATTTTGTCGAGTCAACCCAAACTATATATCCATTGGCGAAAATGAAATGGGGTTTAACGTCCTACTTTTCTGCACCAACCTGACTAATTGGGACGGGCATGTAACTTGTTCTGAGGGATATTTTACCTGGCCAGATGCGCTACGGTCTACTCTTATTTAAAATTCCAATTGTCCAGCCAAAATGTACAGAAGATCTCGGTTTTTCGTCCCACCGACTTGCCAGATCCCCAGTCCTATACACCATCATCGAAACCGGAGCCCTTGTTTGGCATGACAGCGCCTTACTCGGTTATGCCACGAGTTCCTGCAAATGCACTACTATATATATCCAACACAAGTCGATCTGGGATTAATGTCCCATCCAAAGACCACGATTCTATGAAAACTTCAACTAAATTGCAAATCTTATACCCAAAAATGCTTAAAAGAGAACAAAAAAAACAAAAAAAAAAACCCAAAAAAATCTCGAATACTTGCAAAATACTCATACATGTGGTTTTTGTTTTTTAGTGAGGTTTTATAAAAAGAATAAACATAGCATGATAATAGTCTATTGTATAATGTATCATGATATTATTGATTGATTAAAGAATAAACATAGCATGATAATAGTCTATTGTATAATGTATCATGATATTATTGATTGATTAAAGAATAAACATAGCATGATAATAGTCTATTGTATAATGTATCATGATATTATTGATTGATTAAAGAGGGATTATAGACAATTAGATAAAGCGCTGACAGATCTGACTATTAATAGTTAAAACTTGATAATGTACAAGACCTGCATTAGGCAGACTTTTAAACCTGTAACGGTAAATCTCTTTGATCTTTGGTGTATATTCTATACCCGGAATAACTTGCGGCCTGAAAGTCGGGGGAGGTTTTGGATATATACAGGGAAATTTGGGGTTATTCTTCTGAAAGTTTTTCTTTAAACCTGTAACGAGTTATTCTTCCAGGGTAGGTTTTTTTCCCATAAGAAAACATGATATAAAGGTTTTCTTGTGGGAATTCTGGGATATTCTCATCTTGCGTACATGTAAACATAGACGGTTTATAAGCAAGAAAACGTCCTCGACTTCGGTTATGTTGGGGAAGAAAGACTTCAGAAAAAAACCCTCGACAGAAAAACTTCGGCCTGCCGGCCTCGGTTTTTCTTTCTCTCGGGTTATTTTCTTCAGTCTTTCTTTCCCCAGCATAACCCCAGTCTCGTGCTTTATCCTACACTTAGCTCCTGCATAATGTATGTTTAATAGACTACTAGTATAACACCCCACAAAACAATATTATACTTGGGATTATATCACGAGAAATAACCACAGTATGATAATATAGTATATTGTATGTTTTATCTTATCTATATCATAATATAATTAAACATGTATTATGCGAGAGCTAAATCGACCTATTGCAGGTCTTTCTTTACGCCATGAAATGATACATTATTAATTAGACCTTTACCAACTATCAACGCCATCTTATGTGTTCGATTTTCACTGGATTTGAATCCGACCTGCTGCTCAACGCTCATTGATGATTAAATCCAAAAGTGGATAATCAAGACTATGGTTTTTTTTATCGTACCGACTGAAATTTTCAGCCTATTCTATTTACGTCATATAACGAGAACAATATATAGTATATGTTTTTATCTTATCTATATCATCATATAATTAACTGATTTTCCGTGTAACAACTCACACAACTATAATATACCCCGGGTACTTCATTACTATATAATATAACACGAGTGTGGTGCACGACGCAGGGTATGAACCCTTTCTGAACATCTAGTATCACTAATTTAATTACCACCTCATCAAGGGGCGTTGGATGGCCGAATGGTTAGCAAGCGCGTGCTGTATTATAAGGCCTGTCACTGAGTCAACTGGGTGGGGGATGGGATGGATGGCCGAATGGTTAGCACGTGCGCGCTGTATCATAAGGCCTGTCATTGAGTCAACTGGCGGGGCTTTGATTCCCCGGTTGTACATGACAAGGAGTAGGGGTCGCCTCTACAAACTCTTGGGTTTTCTCCGGGTTGTCCGGTTTCCTCCCACTGCTAAAGACACCTACGCGAAAACGAATTATTGAAATAAAATTGAACAATGTGTAGTCCCGAAATGATCTAGTGTGTGTCGATTGGGCGTTAAACCCCATTTCGCTCCCTCTCTTGCGTCGAGTGCAATCAAATCACTATGTAAATACTATATATCATATGTTGGCTTTAATGTGTCATTAATTGAATCAAATAAGATAAAAATAGTTTTATTGTGAGAAATTGTCCTACATCCCATATCTTCATTCACAAAATCCGTCAAATTAATTTTTATTAGGTTATTTAGAAGTTTAGTAACGTTTGAAATGAACGAGCTTGAGAAACCAGTATTACTGTAGACTAGATCGTTTGTAGACTAGTGTAACCAGACTGTTGGGTATAAGAGAGTATAAGTGACAGTGTTGAGATGTTATGTTTTAGTTGAGTTTTGTTTAGCGTGCCATTTGTGTGTTATACTGGTGTTGTTGTATACAGTTAGATAGTTATTCAGTTTGTCCGAGGTGGGATATTATTAACCGTTAACATCAGTCCGGTTTATATCATGGTAAGAAAGCCAAATTTTATAATATTCTTTTTACTCTATTATGAAAAAAGATGAAATTTTTGTAATTTATTATAATGTGAAATGAAATAAAATAGGTTTAACGTCCTACTGTTCTGCTCCGAACTGGGCTAAAGAAGACGGGCATACGCCATACAGTGTGTTATGAGGGACATTTTGCCCGGACAGCGGCACTATGGCCTACTCTTATATCGAATTCCAACTGCCAATGTTACACGGTACCTCGGGTTTTCGTACCGTCCGAACGACTAGACAGCTGTCCTGCATCACTGACAAGGGGGAACCACGCCGGAAAATCTGGATGAACTTATCTCCAACGATGACTAAGTGAGAAATGAAATGAAATAGGGTTTAAAGTCCTACTGTTGTGCATCGACTGGGCTAATGAAATGAAATGGGGTTTACTGTCCTGCTGTTCTGTACCGACTGGGCTAATGAAGACGGGCATGTGCTATACAGTGTGCTATGGCGAGGGACATTTTGCCCGGACAGCGGCGCTACGGCATACTCTTATTTGTGTCTCAGCGAGAACGCCAAGGTTCGATCCCCGTGTTTGCCGAGAATGTGCCTCGGGATTTTCCAGCGTGGTTTACTCTTGTCACTGGTGCTGGCCAGGGAAAAGTTTCTAGTCGTTCGGACAGTACGAACGAGAGAGAGAGAGAGAGTAATGGGGTTTAACGTCCACTCGACACAAACTAGGTCATTTCGGGACTAACATATGGTTCAATTTTATTTCAATAATTCGCTTGCGCGTAGGGGTCTTTAGCAGTGGGAGGAAACCGGAGGACCCGGAGAAAACCCACGAGGTTGGACAGGCGACCCTACTCCTTGTCACGTACAACCAGGGATTCGAAACCACGCCAGTCGACTCAATGACAGACTGTATGATACAGCGCGCGCACGCTAACCATTCAGCCATCCAACCCCCCCAATACGAACGAACGAGATCCACTTGGGCATACATTGGTGTTGGAATTCGATATAAGAGTAGTCCGTAGCGTCGCTGTCCGGACAAAACTTCCCTCATAGCACAATGCATGACGTATGCCCAGTCGGCGCAGAACAGTAGGACGTTAAACCCCATTTTATTTTATTTCTCCAAATGTCCATTGACTTTAAATCTTACAGGGGGGTTTGATGGTCGATTGGTTAGCACGTGCGCGCTGTATCATAAGGCCTGTCATTGAGTCAACTGGCGGGGTTTCGATTCCTCGGTTGTACGTGAGAAGGAGTCGTGTCGCCTGTCTAACCTCGTGAGTTTTTTCAGGGTTTCCCGGTTTCTTCCCACTGCTAAAGACCCCTACGCGCAAGCGAATTATTGACATAAAATTGAACCATGTATTAGTCCCGAAATAACCTAGTTTGTGTCGATTTGGCATTAAACCCTCTCTCTCTCTCTCTCTCTCTCTCTCACTGGGCCATCGTGGTTCCCGTTCTAATATGATACTAGCAGTTGAAATTCAACCCTGAAACAATCCACACATAAACCAAAGAATATAAACAACTGGCGGGGTTTCGATTCCTCGGTTGTACGTGAGAAGGAGTCGTGTCGCCTGTCTAACCTCGTGAGTTTTTCCAGGGTTTCCCGGTTTCTTCCCACTGCTAAAGACCCCTACGCGCAAGCGAATTATTGACATAAAATTGAACCATGTATTAGTCCCGAAATAACCTAGTTTGTGTCGAGTGGACGTTAAACCTCTCTCTCTCTCTCTCTCTCTCTCTCTCTTAAATTTTACAATAATGGTTGATAACCAACTGTTTATTTGATTGCAAAATACAAACATCATGTCAATCAATATGACATTTTAATACGAGACTAATTATTGTGTGAAATAGCTTTATTTAACGTCCACTTGCGACCAAGTAATATCGCAAACAAAGACTAATTATCAACCAGCTTGTTAATCTAGACTATTGCCGAGTTTAGACTACAGTTTCAATTCACTGATAACGATTAGATAACGATTAATAACACAAGTAGATTAATTATTTTAATAATAACTTAATTAATAGGTGTGGGGATGTTGTTTTAAGCATTATTAGTCGGAACAGGCCACCACCCCACCAACACCCCCGAACAGTGAGAACACACCTTTACATGCCATGTATGAAGCTGTTAATATACCAAGGGGTTATGAAACAATGATACTTGTGTTAATACCAGACGAGCAATGGGTCACGTGGCTAAGTGGGTAAGACGCTGGCTCGCTAGCCTGGAGGTCGGGTGTTCGATCCCTGCATTGACCGAGAAATTCATCCAGATTTTCCGGCGTGGTTTCCCATTGTCAGTGATGCAGGACGGAGGGCCTTACAAGGACATCTGTCTAGTCGTTCGGATGGGACGAAAAACCGAGGTCCCGTGTACACATTGGCGTGCACGTAAAAGATCCCTTGACAGTTGGACTTCGATATAAGAGTAGGCCGTAGTGCCGCTGTCCGGGCAAAATTTCCCTCATAGCACACTGTATGGCGTATGCCCGTCTTCATTAGCCCAGTTTAGGAGCAAAACAGTAGGACGTTAAACCCCGTTTCATTTCATTTTATTTCACCAGACGAGCAATGGGTCTCGTGTACGGGACATGGTGTGCTTCGATTTTTACTATTAATTTAACTTGAATGTTTATTCATTGTATGCACAATCCAAAAGAAATGAATGAAGTTTGACATCATACGTTTCTGCCAAAGCCTGGTGTTAATAAGACGGATATAAACCGTGCAGTGTGCTATGCATAACACTTTGCCAAGACAGCGGCGTTCTGCCTACTTTTCGGCAAATTCCAACTGCCAAGTGTTCTTTTACGTGCACTTCATTTTTTGTCTGATCCGAACGATTAGGCGTTATTTTATGCTAGACCCATCTCCTGCCCCACTGACGAGGAAGGCCCCGCTAAATGAAATCCAGAGGAACTTTCTCGGTCAACAACTATGTCGAATTCGAGATACCGAAGCAACGCTATACTCGTCATTAGAGTTCTCATGTCCACTTTCTCGACCAACAACTATATCGAATTCGAGATACTGATTCAGCGCCATACTCGTCATTTGAGTTCACATGCACACTTTCTCGACCAACAACTATATCGAATTCGAGATACTGAGTCAGCGCCTTACTCGTCATTAGAGTTCTCATGTCCACTTTCTCGACGAACAACTATATCGAATTCGAGATACTGATTCAGCGCCATACTCGTCATTTGAGTTCACATGCACACTTCCTCGACCAACAACTATATCGAATTCGAGATACTGAGTCAGCGCCATACTCATCATTAGAGTTCTCATGTCCACTTCCTCGACCAACAACTATATCGTCATTAGAGTTCACATGCACACTTCCTCGGCCAACAACTATATCGAATTCGAGATACTGATTCGGCACCATACACGTTCTTAAGAGTTCACATGCACACTTCCAATTTTATTTTGAGTTAGGAGTCAACAAACTAAATTTTGTTAAAGATCTTAAATCAATATCATGTTTGTTTCCTACCTAATGACGTATAATGTAAACAACGTTAGCATGTCGTGTATTGGTAATTAAATAATTACCTAAACTTCTTCTTGTGAAATCTCTGCTGGTTTAACACACAGGACTCATTCACATATTTATATCAACAAACGATCATGAATTAGTTTTTTTTAAAAGAAGCAATCATGTTGTTAATTTTAAAAAAAACGAAAAAAAACCCAAAAGAACAAAAACTCAACTACGTCCTGTCTTTGAATATAGTTAAACCATATTTTATTATGGTCATTTATACACACTTATTGTATTCTAAGTTCTGTCAATGAGTCAACTGGCGTGGTTTCGATTCCCCGGTTGTACGTCGCCATTCCAATCTCGATAGTTTTCTCCGCGTACTCCGGTTTCCTTCCATTGCTAAAAGACCCCTTCCCGCAAGCGAATTATTGAAATAGAATTGAATCATATGTTAGTCCCGAAATGACCTAGTTTGTGTGGAGTTGACGTTACCCCCCCCCCCCTCTCTCTCTCCTCTCATACTTATTTCTAAACTACATTTGGCAGTAAATCAATGTTCCTATAGGTAAGACAAATGAGCACTCACGACCCTCAACTCTTATCCACTTTGTTGATATTTTTTAAAAAGTTGACCGATAATTTCTAGATAGGCGTGGATAGTAAAAACATATCTTCCAGCTTATGTTACCTGTGTATTTCTACCCCATAATATCTATATGTTAAAAATCTACCCGTGTATATATTAAAATCTATCATTAAAATCTACCTGTGTATATCTACCTGTATATTTCTACCTGTGTATATCTACCTGTATATTTCTACCTGTGTATATCTACTCACGACCCTCAACTCTTGTCCACTTTGTTGATATTTTTTAAAAATTTGACCGATAATTTCTAGATAGCCGTGGATAGTAAAAACATATCTTCCAGCTTATGTTACCTGTGTATTTCTACCCCATAATATCTATATGTTAAAAATCTACCCGTGTATATATTAAAATCTATCATTAAAATCTACCTGTGTATATCTACCTGTATATTTCTACCTGTGTATATCTACCTGTATATTTCTACCTGTGTATATTTGTAATTGTATATTTCTCTCTGTTAAAGTTACCTGTAAAATCTGCCTGTGTAATTTACCTGTACAATCTATCTGTAAAATCTACATGTTAAAGTTACCTGTATAATCTACCTGTATTATTATTTACTTGTAAAATCTACCTGTTAAAGTAACCTGTAAAATCTACCTGCATAATTTACCTGTTAAAGTTACCTGTAAAATCTACCTGTTAAAGTTACCTGTAAAATGTTTTTTCGAGGGTTTTTTTTGTTTCTAGGTTAACACAGAAATCGACACGATATCAATATTTGTCTCTCCGCCATCTTTATTTGCTTTTAATTTAACTTTCCTTTTTAGAACAATCGTTTACTGAGTAATTACAGCCGTCTGTTAATAAACGCCATCTTGCCAAATAGTTTGACGTCATAATCAGTGG